CTCCCAGAAGTGAATCCACCCTTTTGTTCACAGAGTCCAGGATCATTTGACAGAAGCCACTGAAGGCCTTCTCCTGCCTCTTCAACAGCTCCTCATAATGATCCCTTTGTTGCTCCAGCATAAGCTTAACTGCCTCCATTGTCACATATTCAGCTTCCTCTGTGTTGCTTACTTTGTTTCCACCCTTATTGCGAGTAGTGGTCATTCTGTAGCCTCCTTAGGAAGAAAATAAACTCCCAGTAGCAGTAGCACCAGTAGCATAGAGCTCCTCCACAGCTCAGCTCAGGGTAGCAGCAGCAAACAGGTTCCTTCTGGCTGTGTTCAGTGAGAGCATCTTCCTCCTGAGGATGCACATGGCGACAGCAGAGAGAAACAACTGCTGGTGTTTAAGATTCATTGCTCATAAAAACAGAGTTGTGTCCTCTGAGAGCCACCAGAGGAGCTGCTGCTGACGGGTAGATGAACCGCCGCCGGCCTGAAGCCATCGCTGATCTCCCTCCTCATCAAACCGTCCTCCATGCGCCGCTCTTTCTGTCTTTAGTTTTTATTCGAGTGATGTAACACTGACTGTTTTTGGTGCCATCTGTCCAACCAGCTGTTTCTATGACGATCTCTGGCCGAGCTAATGCTAACGCCAGGCTACACTGTACAAGTTTTCCCCTTGTGGTGTAGCATCCAGGGGGATCGGCCTCTAACGACCCCATCAGGGATCAAAGGTCGGGAGAAAAACAGGTTTAAATGAATTCTTCTGTTTTTAGGCGGCATCAGAGCATCGGGCCAACGGCGTGAGAACAAACATCAGAACCTTTCATCTCCCAGTCTGAGCTGTAGCTGCGTGCGATCATTGAAAACATCGCCGGCTTTAGGAGGGGAGAACTTTTTAGACCGATACTAACTTTAAGCTAAGTCTGAATGTTAAACACAGGTGAAGCAGCTGTTTATCTTTAGGCTGTTTATAGCTTAGTGATTTAACCACCAGGTTTGCAGAGAACTATTTAAAGCTCTTTATCATTTCCTCTGAGAGAGGAAAAGGTAGGAGGGGCGCTAGGCTCCGCCCCCTCCCTTACTGACCCTCTGATCGCATGGAGTACGGTGCAGTGCTGATGTCACTGCGCATGCGCCGCAGTGAAACAAATGAATGTACCCTGAGCTGCTCAGCATCCCTCTGTGACGACAAAGAGTCTGATGCGCGGCGCGTGACGGTCAGACGGAACCACGTCCCGGTGGCAGTAGGTTCGGTACCGAGAGCGGAAACATGAGCTGCAACTGGGGCACCGAGCTGTGGGTAAGTGCGATGCTTCTCACCGGGACGGAACCGGGCGGCCACCGGTTGGCGCCTCTGTCTGCCATAGCAACACGGAGGGTGACGACAGCGTCTGGCTCTGCAGCATCATGGAGGATGCATCATCCATGCATCCATCATGCAGAGCCTCCCCATCACCTCCTCAGACCTCCTTATCTAAACCCCCAGAACCTGCTTCGGTTCGGACGTTTGGACCGAAAATGTCCGCTGCAGCAGGAACCTTTTCTAACCTGAACCTGCAGCTTTAGGCAGCCTGCAAGGCAAAACCCTGGGCGAAGCCTGCTCCAGGACTTCTAGTTAATACGAGGGTTCTGACCCAGCATGGGGGGTGGGGGGGTACCGGGCCT